ATGGTATCCGTGATCAGCTTAGCGAGGGCCTCTCCGGTAACTCCTGCTGCACACTCAACGAACACGACAAAATCCTCTCGAACCACCTTTGTCGATAGGTCCACGTACCGTGACACCAAGTTGAGTTGCTCCTTGTTTGCCACATCTGTCACCTCATCAGCGATGACCGTGAACCATCCAGCATCCTTGACCCGATCAACAATCCTCTGGGCAATCTGGTCACCAATGATGTCGATCAGTTGGTTCTGGATATCTCCTGACGTGTACGTTGCATTGGCTGGGGCAGAAGCAATATGACCAGCTAGGATCTTGTCACCAGCCTCCACTCTGAAGTCCATCAAAGCCCAGAAATTTCCACAGTTTGCGGAATCCGCGGCCTCCTTGTTTGTGCTGGCGTCTCTGTGACCTCGCAGAGGAATATTTCGTCTGCCGCACAAGATCAGGATTTTGATTATCGCCTCCAACTTGGCGCGATTCGCAGCTACCCTAGCCGCGTGTCCATCATTGGTCAGCTGTGCTATGTCCTTCGTTCCCCTCCATGACACTGAGGAAGCCGTCAGCTCTTACCACAGCGTCCCGGTGGTAGGCTTTCCCCATATGCTCATCCAGGAGCGCCAGTGCTTTCCGAAAGTTCGTACGTCTTGCCAAAACACCGAGCGACGATCCTCGGAATGCATTTGCAAATAGACAGCATGGAACGCAGACTCCGCCGGAAAGCGAAGGGCTAAACACCAGCCATGGCTTATATACATCGAGCCAGCGGGGCTGAAAAGACCGGCCACCATTCTTCGGGAAAACAAACGAACTATCCGGTTTGACATGGTCCTTTAGCAGGGCAAACATCACGTCGTCGTCGAGCGGTGCACCCTTCGCAATGTCCTCCATGAAGGTACCGATGTCATTTCGGACGACTGCTACTGGTACAGCCAAGGGCGACAACTGCGGCTCTTCCGAGTCTTCGCCTTCGACAATTTCGCAATTAGATTCGTCAGATTCGGAAATGGCACTGGCACTGCTGCTACTGGTATCTGGTCTCTTCGACTTCCCTCCACTGAAATACGTCAAGATCGACATTTTCATAAAAATCCATTCGACTTGCGGATCACAAAACGACGTTGACACTTCTCTTTCACTTCTACCAAGTCTAGCTACACAAAGTGCGAGTCTATACCGGTAGTTGTACAATGCGCAGTGCATCCGAAAACGACCAAACTCACATTCAAAGGCAAAGATCTACACACAACTATACTACCACGGTAGTACGAGTAGTACTACATTGTACTAAAAATTAATAATTAACACTACTGCGCCTGTCACCGGCGAGAACATGACTGCATGTGCATTGCGCAAGGAGGGGGCTAATCTTCTCGCAGAAAAGGGGGAAAAGGGGAGAAAAAGGGGGAAAAAGAGGGGGAAAAGAAGAGCGGGAAATTGAAAAAGAGGGGGTAAAGAATGGCGGGAAAAGGGAAAAGAGGGGGAAAAGGATGGCGGGAAGAATCCACCGTTTGAATGTGCATACATCTAAAGTGAGGCTATTTCCAGGCTCTGCACAAGTACACATCCACCACGGCCTCTCGCAGCCTCCTCCTCTTCCTCCCCCCCCCCCATCACACACAATGTGCCGATTATCCTAATGTCAACTATCCAAATGATTAATTATCCAAAATAATTGCTTGCATTTAATTGAGGGGTAGAAGATGAGTTTCAAGTTGTTGATTTTCGTCGCTCGGGGCACCATTGAAGCGATTCACAAGATGTATTACAACAGGTTTGAGTCAAAATGTGTAATAATAGTGTCATTAATTTAGAGGGGCACGAGTGCACCTAGTTCCTGTTGCACTGCTGAAGAGAATGAAAATGATGAAAACATGCTGAAATATGCATGATTTAGATAGATGTGTGACTGCTCTCTTATCCGAACATTCTTCTCATCTGAACCCTCTGGAGACGGCCCGCGTCCCGAGGGGTGGGGATAATCGGCACTCTCCTGTACATCTAATTCTATTCTTAAATTATATACATATTGTAGAGCTCTTTCTGCTGCCGGGAATGAGAAAACACATCCCAGGTAAGGATACGCCCCTCAAGGAAACACAGCTGGTGGATTCCAACAGTCAGGGGCGTCGCACACGGTACGGTCACTACGGTATTGACCGTACCACTTTTTGCCCCAGATACCCGTGAGTCAACAAAATACACTGATCTGGGGTATAAAATTCCAAAATTTTCGTCTCAGCCACCACTCCCCCACGAGTCAATTGTACTTCAGATGGCTGACCGTACCACACTAAGATACCTTCCGACGCCCCTGACAGTAGTATGAAACTCATACACAATCAATTAGAAATACTTTGGAGAATAAACCTTTGTTGGTGAAACAAAGTTGGGCGAGAGTATGATGTTCAAGTAAAACAATACTAAAGTGCCGTAACGTGAAGAAAGGAACGTAGCGCACAAGTTAACGAGAGAGCTTGGAAGCTCAGGGCCCTACGCTATGCTTTTTTGCCTTGATGACCTAGACAAAAAAAGCATAGGGATGTTATAAATTCTTTAAAAATTCCTTTTTTTAAAGACATAACCTGGGATTCGAACCCGCACTATCGCGCACCCTGCATGCACCCCCCCCCCCCCCCGATACACTTCGCATACATACTAATTCTTCCAAGTTGCTTCACATTGTGATCTTGCATTTGAAAGCCCTACTAGTATTTGAATATGCATTGTGGCCAGCCGTCTTTGATGGCACGGTACGGTAGGGGATAGGTACGGGACAGGTACGATCGACGGTAATACGACACCGTCTCCCGTACCGTACCGTACCATCAAACACAGCTGGCCACATATAGCTGCCAGCAATATTCAAATAGGGCTTTCAAACGCAAGATCATAACGTGAAGCAACTTGGAAGAATGGGTATGAATGCGAAGTGTATGGGGGAATGCATGTAGGGCGATAGTGCGGGTTCGAATCCCAGCATATGCCTGAAAAAATAGGAGAATTGAAAAATTTATAACGTCCCTATGCTTTTTTTGCCGTCAGATACGGATAGCGCCAGGCGTGACACAAACAAACAAACACACAAATACCAAATTAAAGCTGTGTGGACCCTGGCTAGCGCCAGACGTTACTGAAGTAACGTCTTCTGCATAGCTACGGGAATGAAGATAAATTCACATACAGAACACAATATGCCCAGATACGGAAATTTAAGTCAAGATTAGCAGAATATACACACATGCAAACACACACACACACACACAAGCGTGTGCACACAAACGCAAACACACACACACATATACACACACACACACACACACACACACACACACACACACACACACACACACACACACACACTGTTGGCTGCTATAATGCGATGGCAGCCTAGACAGAGGAAACAAAGTTTACACAAACAAATTCCTACTCTTTCTCTTTCTTTGTCTTCTTCTTCTTCCTCATATTCAATTCAAGGCAGGCTCTTCTATTTTTTTTGCTTCGGCCAACCTCGTTTTGGGATCTGACCCACTTTATTGGGGCAGTACAGGTACCCTGAACCTGAGAGTGTCCTTCTGATGTCATCGCTCTCCTACATTTTCTGCACGTCTATATTATTCTTTCTACGAGGACAACAGAAGGACAGAAACAAAGACATCCACACCATTTTTAAGACTGCATCTTCCAAAGAACACATCAAAAAGCAAATTCTACACACCAAGCATCGGTTCACGCCGTAACAAATCTCCACGCCATGAAAAATTCGATCGAATGCCTGGTGGGAGATGCTTTTTAAAAGGCTTGCATACAAAAGACATTGTTGTGGCTGCCACCGGATTCGTACAAGAATATGTCAACTTCTAATCAAGGACTGTAATAAGTTCTGCCTTACGTATTAAAGGGGAAGTCTGCTGAATTTTTTTTAATTTCAGGACCCGTAGAGTTTGGGGCGCTGAGTCGAATGTTCTTTTCCGAGGAGGCTGCGGTCCATGGTTCGTCAGATACGCCCAATCGAAAATGAGCGAAAGCGAGCACGCAGTCTACCTGATCCAGGTGATAAGGTCACAGTGTGCAGCCAGGTATCCACACCATCTATTTGTGTGCAAAATGGCCAATATTCGAAACGCGTTCGATTTGAGAACCATCTGTCGCAGCTTCTTCGGACCAAGAGCATTCGACTCACTGTTACAAGCCCTACGTACCCTGTGATTTTCAGCTCGGCAAAATTTGAGGATACCCCGTTTTTAGCCGTTTCCGAGTGGGACTTTTTACATCCGCTGGCTTCTGCGTGCATGCCATAGTCAACAAACATACGGAACACTACACTACAGTACTGCCGGGCACCGAAGAACGGGGTCAGGGTTCTAGCCTAGCCCGTTCTTATTTTTAGCGAACACAGCAGTTTCGTTCATATTCGATGGTACAGTCTTACATGTACATTTATGCAGATTTATACGTCTGAGTGTACATCATATTCATATTGTACATTACGTTTCTACCTAGACCGTTCTTAAAAAATGGCAAAATTATAGCCTGGCCGTTCATCGGCGGTCCGTTCTTCGGCGCCCGGCAGTACTGTAGTAGTAGTAGTGGTAGTAGTAGTAGTAGTAGTAGTAGTACATGACTACACCCGCACTGCTGTGCTAGCGCTACGCGAGTCGTGTGGTAGATCTGAATGTAGAAGAGACTAGTCAATCCACGGACGTTTCATGTACTGCACCCGGTATGTAGTTAGAGAAGGTGTGCTCCTCCGGGCCGGTGATTGTGCTTTGAGAAAGAAATATTTTAGTTTTCCGCTTGGAATAGTCCAGCCTCATTTATGCTACAACGATGAGTCCACAACCGTGACAAGCGACAAAACCGCGAACAGCTCCCGGACCTAAAACGTTCAGATCCCGAAGTGTTGTGAGCCTTGAATCGAAGAGTCGTGTCCGTGGTTCTAAGAACCTGCATTGTATATCCAATCGAACAGCGTCCGAGCTATGTTTGCACCAAAAATCGTGAAATTTTCCACTGTATCATGGAAATGCCACACCCTGCAGTCCCGCTGTTACCATATTTTACCGGTATAAGTCGACTTATTGAATTGAATTCAGTGCAAACAGGAATTTCGGATAATTGACCGTTTGGACAGTTGACATTCGGATAATCGGCATTCTACCGTAATCCTAGTGCATGCAATGAAACATACTTGACTGTTGGGGAGTCTTGCTGTGTCAGTGCAAATTGGCAGTTAATGCTAGAAGCTGCAGTGAACATTATCACAAATAGAAAATATAGAAAAGCAAATACAACTGAACTTTGATACTGGAAATTACAGATCTGCTGCCCGCATCCACATGTCCATATTCTACATGTGCGATTGATCCTGCAAGATCTTCACTGCCCGTCTAATTGAGGATGGCACCCCGAATAGAACGGGCCGCTTCTAAACCAATCAAAGACCCAGGTTGTTATACTCCAGAAACCGGGCAAAGACCTGTCACCCATCCATGACCCATCAGCCCATCTCCTTATGCTCACATTTTGGTGTAGTAGTTGAGCACCTGTCCTTCCTTCATCAAGTGGATATCCTAAGCATGTGACTTACCGCTGGTATATCTCTGCACTTCCATCTTGACTGGTTGTCAAGTCCCTTTCCGGAGAGGTAGAGTGGATGGTAGGGTCAGTGCAGTCCTGGCCACGCCATAAGAAAGAAGACATTTTCCCATCAGGAGAAGGCCAACATCCTCCCTCTGGGTAGTGTCTTGATACCTGCAGTGCAGTGCAGTAACATTAAACTGCAATTGAAATTGTCTCCATGCCATTGTTAAGCCCAGTTCACATTCGACGGGGCGCAACGGGACGCGACATAAGGATCGACGGGAAACGACGGGACGGTCACCCCGTCACGGACTGTGCCTTATGACTCGCACCATTCGTTGTTGAACATCGCAAAGACTGGAGCATGTCGTGTCGTACGAATTGTACAAGATTTTACAGCTCACCCCAGCCGTCACAGGCCCTTATGTCCCGTACCGTCAGTGTTGCGTCGAAAGAGAACTAGGCTTTAGAAAGATTACGTGTTGGTATGTGCTCCTACTTACACACAAATATACAAAAGGTATATAAAGAGAAAGCATGATCCACCCCATCATTGACACCAACAGCCCGGCACAAGAGCAGCAGCACCTGCATTCTATTAACCCAAAGTTCATTTGCGAATATACTCACAGAGTCGTCTCCTTTACTGTGCCCGACCTTGGAAGAAAACAACACAGCGACATAGTGTTGGTGTCGGTGAGGGCTTCTACGTTCACATGAACATACAGAAAAGCACAATATATTTCCAAACAGACGCCAACTAGTATAACCAAACAGCAACGACAACACCACAAAGACCTAACAGTCTCTTGAGCACAAAGTGTCTGGGATAAAAAAAAGAGCAGAAGTTCACCATTGACACTGGTATTATAAAACTTTCTACAACTGCTGCAGAGGCAGCAGCAGGGTTCTAGTGCCCGGACCCAAAGCTCATCTGAGAATTTTCGCCATTGATACAAAGCAACGACCATGGTAGCAACAGAGAGTGACAGCAGCAGCCGTTTGAGCAGCAGTATCAGCAGTCTCCAGCTTCAAGGGAGTGACCTAGCAAATTTTACAGTAACGTGAAAGGTGCAACTGCACTCTTTCCGGCACCAAATATGCCATGCTGTCCCCCGCTGCAAAATAGAGGACAACTCTCAACTGTCGCCAACACCTTGGCCCAGAGGGAGTCTTTCCTTGGACGTTCGCCCCGGCCAAAGAAGGTCAAAACCCAAGTGGTGTAATCATGTATCTGCTTCTCCTATCGAGACACTGGCAAGGCTTGTATAGGCATGATAAATTGATAATACTGTATGCATATAACAAAGGCAAACAAACAAACTCACGTCCATGCACATGTGCACGGACGGTGTCGTTGGCGTACACACACACACACACACACACACACACACGCGCACGCGCGCGCCCATGCCCGCGCATGCACAGGACAAAGGCATGTGCAAAGGAGCATGCTCACAAAAGCACAGGACAGGCACACGACTGATCTACGGATGTATCACGACTTTGAAGGGACGGAGCTTGCAGCAAGCCTTCACGCTCTGGAGATTCCTGAAATACATAAATACATGTCAGCAGTAAATAGTTGCAGCATAAACATTTCCACGGGGACTGTGCAGCTTCACTAACCTTAACTTCAGTCTCCCCAGAATGCAGCAATCAGACAACGGCTACGAAGAGGTGCAGGAAATTTGAACAACTGTTTCAAAAGCAGTCCTCCAAGCCTTCTGCACCAACAGGTGATTCAGTTCGTGCTCTTTTACCATCCTGGCAGGTAGAGACATTTTCTAATAACACGGGAGAGCACAATCATCAAGGTGGGCAAATCCTCAAGAGAGAGTGCACCCTAACTTACACTACAAATCATTTACTGGACACTACTGGACAGAGCGTCCAGTCCATTCAGTCCAGGGGAGAAGAGGCAAAGGCATAGGGCTCCTGAGAAGATGAAAGGGCAACACATTATCATTACTACATTAATTTTATTATTTGGGGGCAGACGTCTTCTCTGTAAAATATGAGGACGAAGGGCACGTCAGTACTCACATCCCTGCTCATATCACTGCTCATCCATGTCCTCTACGAGGGCAATGCATTTAGGGCTGAAACAAGTATACAGATAACTCGCAAACCTAACGTTTTAAGAGCGCAATCGATAATCGTTAGTGTTCAAAGCGAATGCAAACGATTTTTTATGCATGCATACCAGTGGCAGTATTCTAGCCCTTGCACTCCATCCAATTGTGGATACGAGTGCAATCGTGTACTTTCAAGCGCAGTAATATTGATGCGTGGCTATGAAAGAGATCGGGAGTCAAGACTGTATCTTTTCGATTGATTCGTTGCGGAAGTTGGTGATAAGAGCTTCAAGCCAAAGGGTGACGACAAGCCTGATTCTTCGTTCTAGAAACAACATGAACTCCTCTAGTTCATATTGATAAAGCCTAGTTCACATTCGACGGGACGCGGCGCAAGGATCGATGGGAAGCGACAGGACGGTCCGACGGCGTCCACTGTGAACACCAGGAACGGGAACGCAACCATACTACCGTACGGATCGGGAAGCGACGGGAAGTGTTGGATTAGTTCAACTTTTCATACCGTAGACGGGCATGGACGGAGACGCAAGCGTACAAAACGGCTGCATTTTGAGTGTGAACAGGAGGCGGCGTCGTGCGCCGTCCACTCCCGATTCGTACTAGGACATTTTTAGGATTTCAAACACTGCGCTTCCCATGATAACTCGCAGAATGGCTAACACGACTTGAGTTGAATTTTAGCAAGATAAGATCTCATGTCACTTATGGTATTTAGGGATAGTTTAGGAGAATGACAGATGAACTGTTTTATCATTTCCTAGGACTACTATTCGAATGGCACAACTTTCAGGGCTACTTTTTTGTCTCCATGAAAAACTGGTATTGTGAACTTGATTTCGCTTCATTCAAGGAGAAATAATTGAAAAGAAGTCCCGAAAAACAAGAAATTAGGTCCGAAAGTCACCCCGTCACGGACTGTGCCTTATGACTCGCGCCGTTCGCTAGAGAACATCGCAACGACTGCAGCATGTCGTGTCGTACGAATCGTAAAAGATTTTACAGCTCACCCAGGCCCTTACGTCCTGTACCGTCAGTGTTACGTCGAATGTGAACTAGGCTTTAGACCAGTCAGATGTCTACAGGTGTCGACACAATTGCCTGAAATGTTTACAGAATACCAAACACTGAGCGGTGGCCTGGGTATATTTAGAGTGTTTGACTGGTGGCCACAGCTAATGTAGCAAAGGCATCATGGAATTTCTTCTTGTGTTCGAGGTGCACGACTACAGCTGGAAAGAATCTATAATTATGAACCAACAATTATAATTGATCTCAATGTCTCAGTACTCATACTCCTTGTCAGTTTTGTGCTAGATTGTGCACGTCTGACTATTCGAAATCTGGTTTAGTTGGTGGACTCGATTGCATAGCTTGTGCCCACATTTTTCTATGTTACAATTATATTCATCGCTAAAGAGATTGGTTGATCGCTTGGAGTTATTGAATGATCGTTTCAGCCCTAATTTATTTTCACCCTGGCCACAGCACTAGGCGAAATTCTCTGACACGGCCTTTACCTGCATCCACTGCTCTTTTGCATCACGACGAAGGACATGCAGGGGTTCTCTCTGAGCAGAGGAAAGTAGCCATCGCCACCACCACCATCACCATTCACCGACAATACTAGAGAGACTATTTTCCCCGTCGTGGGTACTTCCAATAAAGTAATTCCACTTACATAGGTACCGTCAGCGGCGCCACCATGTTCCCAACAGTGTATTCCTATCGTGGGTACTTCCACGGGCAATAAATTCGGCTCGTGCTGTCACTCGCAAGCCATCAAATTGCTATCCCTCCCTTGCGTGAATTGCCTCTGCAAACAAAATTATTTCAATGATTGGATTCAGTTCTTTTCGCTCGTGCACGCGTGGTACATGGTCGCGTGCGCCCCATCTACGCCCATACATTGTTTCATCTTGTTTCATCTTGTTTCATTCGCGGCCCATCTACAGTGATCTACGCCCGTACTTCGAGTTTCATTTGGTTTCATCTTGTTTCATCTTGTTTCATTTTGTTTCATTTCGTTTCATCTCGGCCCCATCTGCGCCCGTACTTGGCGTTTCATCTTGTTTCATCTCGTTTCATCTTGTTTCATCTGTTTCATCTGGGGGGAAGACGGCCCCCCCCCCCCCCCCCTCTTCCCTAAGACTCCTTCCAATATTCACTCTTGGCGCGACCCTTGTGAACTGAGCGGGGTGTATCATTGAATATACCCCTCTCAGAACGTCTACTGATTGGCTGAAATCGCCCAAATCATACCGTGCCATGGATCAATGCATGTCAGGGATTCGTAGCACCCAAGGAAACAACACGAGGTCATGATACCCAAAATGATGTACTGTAAAAGCGGAAATTTTCAGTGGTGTTTTATTTTCGGTAACTTCGGTGCCGACAATTTTTACCGAAAAAATGCACCGAAATTTTTCGGTACTTCTTAGTAGTGCTAGCACCCTTACCTGGAAAGCGGGTATTACCGAAAATTTCCCTCCACCGAACCACCGATTTTGGAGAATTCCGAAAGTATTACACCATCAAAAATGTCTGCTTTTACAGTACACAGATTGGATCCATGGAGATTCTACATGATCCATGGTTTATGCAACTCGTGATCGCGGACTTGACCCACTGGCCCCAAGCATGGGTCAGTCAAGCGATGCTATATGCGAGCATGTATGTATCGCACTTGCCCCTAAGGCAGTAAGGGCAACTGTCACTGGCAGCCCGGGGTTGAACCCACATTATTAATTTTTGAAATTTTCTAGGGTGACACGAAAAGCTTCACGCACTGGGTGGTCACTCTCTATTCATGTATACCACTCTGCCAATATTGGCAATAGTGCATAGAGCTCTCTTTTGAGCTGCCCAGCTGGCCCTCGTTATGATTTAGGCTGAAAGTCTACCGTGCCGTCTCCCTTATTATTAATTTATGCTATGACTCCATAATGCATAATTATTATCAAGAGTACATAACCCCCCAGAGTGTGCAACGCCGATCCAGCTCTGCATAGGGTCTTGGTCGAGCGGAATCGGATCTTCTTATGTCATGCGTACACTCCACACCAGCTCAAGGCCGGTCTCGAGGCAGGGCACCATTGTTTTTGATCCAAGAGTACCCGCGACTCCCCGGGTTCCCCTCAGATGTGTACGGTATTATGACGCAAAGATCCGATTCCGCTCGACCAAGACCCTATACCTGTATACAGAGCTGGATCAGGCGTTGCACACTCTGGGGGGTTATGTACTCTTGATATTATGTACAGAAGAAAAAAATCCCAGGGCTCCGTTGATGAAATTCTGTTTTGTCAAGTGGGCATTTTTGATTATTGTGAATGGCGTGTAGTGCCATAGTACAGTTCCTTTTGCTACGTAACGTTTGCACAAGTCACGTTTCAGCAATTGAACTAGGAAGATCTATGTCTCTGATCTTGTCATTTGGCCCGGCTGGTACTGTGCATTAACAACCATTGTCAGGCACCCTCGTAAGACCAACAGCGATGAGTTCATGACCCAAGCATTATTTGGGCCGTTAAGTTGACTAAACGGGAGTGTAGCAAGCTTTGATCAGCGTACTTCCTTCCGTACGTAGTGAAATGTTGTCCGAGCTGAATAGATTCTATCTCCTGCGGTTTAGTACAATAGTTCCACACCTAATACTGTAGATTCGACGTCTCCAAGAAAAATCTCCATGGAGACTGGAAACTATAGCAGATCATAAATGAAGCAGCAGCTCAGCTGATTCCCTAGCTCGTGTCTAGGTTCATGTACTTTGGTCAACGTGTTGCGGCAGACTCCATGTGCAAAGCTGCATACTCTTGGGGTTATTGATTCTTGCTTATAATTCATGCATAGATATGAACATCATAATAATTGAATGTTGGCAAGACCCAACAAGGTGCCCCTTAGATCAGATCTTCACAAAAATTAATGCACATACTGTAAGACATGTATATATAACGAGGAAGCAAATCTAACGTTTTAACGGATGACATTTCTTCGTTATAATAGATCCATTGAGGCCGTACTGCTTCATATATGCTGTGTGTGTATATGGCAGAATACTGCAAGATTGTTAACATATCTTCTCGTTAACCTTTGAATTTTGGACAATCGTTAAATGTGCGACTCGTTATAATAACATGTCTTACAGTACATCTTGAAAAGCCTTATTTTGGTTTCACATACACTTCTCATTTCTATCACAGAGATCAGCAGCCATGGGCCATTGGTGGCAATACTGGTAGGAGTCGCCCGAGGCTTAGCCAATAATTTCCGTTCTATACCCAATATACATACCCGAACTGGGCACAAATCTATCCCATTCCTTGGTGCTGACCCCTTTGATGCGCCCCCATCCCTTAGCATAATTAGTACGTCCAATTCATTTCGTGATCAGCTCACCGCATGCTCAGTACTGTGTTGTAAAGTATGCAAATTTCCGACGCTTTTAAATTGCAGCCTCCCCAGGGCAAAAACACATCTCGGCCACATTGAAATTTCAGCCTGTACTGCTGATGCCTGTATGCACTGTCACGTTGAACCTTGCAAAACGAATTTTAGGCTACAAATACCCAGTAAATAAAAGGGGAGAAGGCACTGAACGAAGCGTCAACCTACGAATACAACCTCAGTGCAACAACGTGCTCTTTCTCTTTCTGCTTGTGTAAGCAGAAAGAGCACGTTGTTACACTGAGGTTGTATTCGTAGGTTGACAGTTCGTTCAGTGCCTTCTCACCTTGGGTTACGTAATCTTGTTACCTTTTGCGTTTCCTCTAGTAGATAAAAGGGGGGTTGTCAAATGACAACCGCTCTATTCAGTTGCTATTCACTCCTGGCGCATGCGCTGGACGAAAAATTCTTTTATTAGTGATGTCGAAAAAGTATGCGGTTGTCAGTTGACAAACCCCCTTTTATTTACAATTCAGTTGCGTGATGTCCACCACTTTCCGAATTAAAAATGCACAGGCCGTTAATAGCCGAAAATAAAATATGCGCCGAATATGCAGTACCTTGCGCACTCTGTTAGAAGACATTAGGGCTACTGGGAATGATTGCCCAAGTAAAATGATGAAGTACAGTAATACAATACTAGGGAGTGCATTTGCCATGAATGCACCAAGCCAACTCTCCTATACAAACAGTATAGTGTTGCTGCCAAAAATATGATTAGCTAAAGTTGCCTTTTTGCATTATTATGGTTGAACTTTTTTTTCCTGTAGCCTCGTTCCCATGCTGTGGATTTAATCACGAAATTTGTTAGCAAGACAAAGAGGTTTTATGTGAGCTTACTATTATTCTACCTGCACTTGCTTTTATCTTTTTTTGTGCAGGACTCTGAGAAGCTGGAGGGACCCCACAAACCTCAAGCATTGAGGATACAACTTTTAACCAAGAACCAGGCAACATGATGTGCATGTATCACGTTCGCTGTGATTGCATCGTTTCAGGGTACACTGACAACATACTAGTACTAGTAACTAGTCCTTGATTAGCAGCAGTGGCCTGAATTATTGCCTGGCCGCTATTCATATAATCCTTTGGTGCTTACTCATCGCCTTGTTCTGTCTCTAAAATGGCGTATGGGTGTTCCGAGGCTTGTAATATTTGCTCAAGCCGCGCATTGGCATTGGTGTATGTCGGTAAATGCCAGCCACTGCTGCCTAGCTCAACATGTTTTGTGTGATGTAGAATGCGCTCTGTGTATCTACAATCGAGTGACCTGCTTGTGTGAGCCAACTGCAACTACACCAACAGTTGCACTAGTATGTGCACTGTGCTGGCACAGTGTATCATACTCAGTCTTGTCACTTCTTCTCCCACGTTTACTGTATTGTTTAATAGATGACTTGCACAAAGATTGTCTGGGTTCGAGACGGGGCAAGTGGACCTTCTGACTCTGACTTCCCCACCTTTTGAGTTCGTGACTTTCGAAGTTTCGCTTTTTGCCTGACGAACACTGAGCTAGTTTTTTTGGCTAGAGAGTAGAGTTGTTTTGATTCGGCTTGTATCGTCATGCTGAAGCGCTGCTGCGCTCCTGAATGCACTAGCAGACGAGAGATGGAACTGAGGCTCCCATTCCATACGTTCCTTTCCGAGCCGGCCGGCCGGGAGGCAGAAAATTGAGGGAATATTATTTTTAGTATCATTCGTGTAGGCTGCAACAAGCACGTCGTGGTCCTGAAGTGTGACTACTTTCCCGCAGTGGAAGCGAAGTCAAGCACAACGAAAGTTTGTGAACGTCTGAGAAAGAACTCGATTCCCTTTGATTCGGCTGCACTAGCTCCAGAGCGACCTTCTCCTAGGACAGACTGCGGAGAGGCCAGGAACCTGCCGAGTCACGAGTGGAAGCCCAAACCACGAAAATGAAGGGTGGAAGGACTGAGTGTGAGAGCCAGATGGCCTTTAGTAGTACTTCAAGTAGTATCTGAGTTGAAGGAGAGAACAAGTGTGCTGGAGAAACGCTGCGAAGTCCTCAGGCCTGATGTGTACTAGCTACTGTTGAAGTCTCACTTGTTCCGATATGAACACTTCATCAGCCCTGACTCTGAGCAGCTGTATCTAGACTTGGACTTAGGCCAGAGACATAGCATTGTAAACCTTACTGAAGCCATATGTATCCAATGCCTGGCTCTAGTGAGAAAGCAGTTTGGCGCAGGCTCGCAAACTATGATTGAATCAGGGAGTGGTGGAAAGTCACATTATACCTCTCCATGATTAGCTGGTAATGACAACGAAGCGGCTCCGGCTGGGTCTCATGGGAAAGTAACTTGCATAACTGTTTAGTTTCAAGGAGGCAACGGTACCCCATGTACTGAAGACATGATTGAACTACATTTTATCTCCTCCTGGGAGAATGTGGAACAAATAATGCCAGAGTGTGTCTGATACAC